TCCAGAAATAGGTATCGTAAAGCTCGGCTCCCACTTTGGTTGGCCAAAGCGATTGCATGGAGTCCGCAGGCGACGAGCACTCACGACGGATCGTTTTCAACGACGATGGGCAGATCACCGACTGCCGTCGAGCAGAGAGACGGATTTGTTGGTCAATGATCGGCGTAAATTCAACCAAGGTAAGTTTTAGCCATTGTAATGGAAGAGGGCGCTAAAACTTGTACCGGTATTTGTTACTCAACTGAAATCCTCTGTACGCGTTCATTCTATCATTACCTATTACAGTATTACAACATAATATTTTGGGATTAATTTTAAGTAGGCCTACATTTTGCTGCCTTAATTTATGTAATTAAGATGTATGCGTGTTTGGGTATTTGTACATGTGTCTGTATAAATAATTAATTGTATTTTACATACTGTAGGCCTAAAAGATGTACGACAAAAAAATATAAGTAAACTTAGTCCTAATAAAGTTGTTTTTTTTTTACATTTTTGGTAATAGATGATTGAAATCATCCCATTACATTGTTATCGATATAAAAATATACGCAATACCCCGATTTAGTCTCTAACTAGCACTGATGTCACGACAGTCTTGCCTGTTGGGTAAAACTACGATTACAACAACAAACACCAACCTACTAAAGGACATGAGCGGTTTCGAAAATGGTGTAACCAAAGTCGTCTTTTTGCTTCTCTCGCAAAGTGCTTACCAGGCTCATCCAACTTACAAACTGTGCCGCCTATGGCTGAGCAATATAGCTGAAAAGGTTTACACTAATATTATACCAGCTCGTTGCGTGTTCTGTATGGATAGGCGTAGGCCAAAAATGGATGCCCTGACCATAAAAAAAAAACATTGAGTTTTTGGTTTCACGAATATACTGTAATTATGCATGTCGTAAGAATGCTATGTATTTTTGAGTTATCACGAACAGACACAAACTGTTCATGAAAATTACTAGGTTAATTACAATTAAAACAGAAAGAAAGTGGAACATTTGAATTATTTAATGCTTTAGGTTTATATATGAAACACATATTTAAAAATTCGATAGGTATTTCACCTTAAATGCGTTTTTCTCAAAACGTTTGTCTGTGACGATGTGATTATTTACCTATTTTTGTATCTTAGTAAAGTAAATAAATTAAATTGGAATAAGAAATTAATATACGTTCCTTTAAAAATTGCCTACGAATGGCAATTTATTCATAAGATTCTTTAAGTAGGCCTCTATTAAAATTTTCGAAATAGAACGGAACGTTCCTCTTTGTTGTTTATGCTTGAATATCGCCATCAACGTCAGAACTTGGGACGTCTGAACAACCATGGAACAACAAACGATACGATTTCGAAGAATTATTACGGTGAAGCTGATACGACCTCAAACTGTGAGTAATATATAAAGTACGATGCATTATTACGTTGTTGTATAGTCACCACTGTTGTACTCATTTACTAAAAACTTGGTAACACAACTTGCTGGAAAATACAACTGAGTTGTTAATGGAATAATTATCAAGGAGTAAATTTGTAGGAACATAAAGAACATCAAGACATTCCTTGCCTATGTTCCCCACAGAGTTTTCTTGATTGACTCAAGTCGTCAGTTGCTATCGAGGTCCGGAAGGTAAGTTTCCGTCTATTTGGGTGGCACCTTTATTTGTTTCCTTACTACCTCCTTGACACTGTTATTAAAAGCAAGGCCTAAAGTAAAATGCTATCTTTAGATAGTTCACCGAGTATGCTTAAAAGTCTTATTTAGGTTTGCGTTCATGGAAAATTAATGGTAGCCACCCCTTCTCTATCCACCTCAGTCTATAAACACCTGGACTAACCAATATTGTATTGTAGTCCATAGAGTAACATTTATGAAAAGTAAGAAATCTGATTGGGTATTTCTTGTATACAAAAAAATTATATTTCGATTTTTGCATAGGCCTAGTGGTAATTATAAATTATGGTTTGAGCGAGCCTCCAATATCCATCGCCTCGTAATAAATATATGTAAAGTTGGGAGAGAAGAAGATCTTATAATAAAACAAGTTCACTCACTACTCTGATAATTTCTAATGATTTGTACACATTTGTTTATACTGTTCTTAGTAGAGTTAAGATACATAACGACGATTAGTCACCGTCTAAAATTAAATATGGCTGTCAAACAACAGTACACTCTATTATTATGTGCCGGAGGCGTAAAATCAGCCACTGACAGCCAGGTATATTGGTTGGCATCTGTTTTTCGGTTTTATTGTACAGGCATACTCAATTTAACCCCTTTACAGTTCCATGGTAACTATACTCTGTATCCGGGTTCAGTAATTTGTTTAAACAAACTAATCTTTACAAGAATTAAAGTTTTTTATTGTTGAGTTAAAATTGGTTGTCTTGACGATGTAGGACACTGGGGTGCTACGATCTAAATTTACAAGTAATTACTGCCAAACTCAGGAGGTACTCGAGTACTGTTTATGCACGAAACTTATAATAGGTCCATGATTTATGGTAGCAGTTTAATACAATTCATTGAGGGTAAACATACTGTGAATTTGGTTTCCTTGAGAAAACCCGATATGGGAAACTGTAATCATTCATATTCAAATGAAGTTTACTAAAGAAAGGTATTACACTACTGTGATAATACAAAAGCATATTGTTATACCATCCATAGAGATGGTTATACAAGAAATATATGGTTGGTTGGCCGGTCGATTGTTATTTCCTATTTTCTGTTTCTGTTCTCATCATAGCCTGCTCAGCATAGACTACGCGTAGTGTTCAAAGTGACGCACCTGACCAAGTGCTCCCGTTTTGTGATAAAAATTATTAAAAATGCAAAACCAGTAAAATTATGGTAATTTCGGCTTTTAATTTTGATGCCGCAGTGTTTACTGACAGTTCACCAAAAAATTACCCCCCCCCCAACCAGTCACCCCACAAAAAAATCACGGTCAAGTAGTTAAACATCACCTAAAATCCCTTATTTTGCAGATTAGCGCCCCTCAACC